ATTGTTTTTATAGAGATATGTGCACACTTTCATCCTTACAGCTGACAATCTTTTGTAGATGTTTAAGGTGCATTGTTTTTATAGAGATGTGTGCACACTTTCATCCTTACAGCTGACAACCTTTTGTAAATGTTTAAGATGCATTGTTTTTATAGAGATGTGAGCACACTTTCATCCTAACAGCTGACAATCTTTTGTAGATGTTTAAGGTGCATTGTTTTATAGAGATGTATGCACACTTTCATTCTTACAGCTGACAATCTTTAGTAGATGTTTAAGGTGCATTGTTTTAATAAAGAAGTATGCACACTTTCATCCTTACAGCTGACAATCTTTTGTAGATGTTTAAGATGCATTGTTTTATAGAGATGTGTGCACACTTTCATCCTTACAGCTGACAATCTTTTGTAGATGTTTAAGGTGCATTGTTTTATAGAGATGTATGCACACTTTCATCCTTACAGCTGACAACCTTTTGTAAATGTTTAAGATGCATTGTTTTATAGAGATGTATGCACACTTTCATCCTAACAGCTGACAATCTTTTGTAGATGTTTAAGGTGCATTGTTTTTATAGAGATGTGTGCACACTTTCATCCTTACAGCTGACAATCTTTTGTAGATGTTTAAGGTGCATTGTTTTTATAGAGATGTGTGCACACTTTCATCCTTACAGCTGACAACCTTTTGTAAATGTTTAAGATGCATTGTTTTTATAGAGATGTGAGCACACTTTCATCCTAACAGCTGACAATCTTTTGTAGATGTTTAAGGTGCATTGTTTTATAGAGATGTATGCACACTTTCATCCTAACAGCTGACAATCTTTTGGAGATGTTTAAGGTGCATTGTTTTATAGAGATGTATGCACACTTTCATCCTTACAGCTGACAATCTTTTGTAGATGTTTAAGGTGCATTGTTTTATAGAGATGTATGCACACTTTCATCCTTACAGCTGACAATCTTTTGTAGTTGTTAAGGTGCATTGTTTTATAGAGATGTATGCACACTTTCATCCTTACAGCTGACAATCTTTTGCAGATGTTTAAGGTGCATTGTTTTATAGAGATGTATGCACACTTTCATCCTTACAGCTGACAATCTTTTGTAGTTGTTTAAGGTGTATTGTTTTATAGAGATGTATGCACACTTTCATCCTTACAGCTGACAATCTTTTGTAGATTTTTAAGGTGCATTGTTTTTATAGAGATGTGTGCACACTTTCATCCTTACAGCTGACAACCTTTTGTAAATGTTTTAGATGCATTGTTTTTATAGAGATGTGAGCACACTTTCATCCTAACAGCTGACAATCTTTTGTAGATGTTTAAGGTGCATTGTTTTATAGAGATGTATGCACACTTTCATTCTTACAGCTGACAATCTTTAGTAGATGTTTAAGGTGCATTGTTTTTATAAAGAAGTATGCACACTTTCATCCTTACAGCTGACAATCTTTTGTAGATGTTTAAGGTGCATTGTTTTATAGAGATGTGTGCACACTTTCATCCTTACAGCTGACAATCTTTTGTAGATGTTTAAGGTGCATTGTTTTATAGAGATGTGTGCACACTTTAATCCTTACAGCTGACAATCTTTTGTAGATGTTTAATGTGCATTGTTTTATAGAGATGTATGCACACTTTCATCCTTACAGCTGACAATCTTTTGTAGATGTTTAAGGTGCATTGTTTTATAGAGATGTATGTACACTTTCATCCTTACAGCTGACAATCTTTTGTAGATGTTTAAGGTGCATTGTTTTATAGAGATGTATGCACACTTTCATCCTTACAGCTGACAATCTTTTGTAGATGTTTAAGGTGCATTGTTTTTATAGAGATGTGTGCACACTTTCATCCTTACAGCTGACAACCTTTTGTAAATGTTTAAGATGCATTGTTTTTATAGAGATGTGAGCACACTTTCATCCTAACAGCTGACAATCTTTTGTAGATGTTTAAGGTGCATTGTTTTATAGAGATGTATGCACACTTTCATTCTTACAGCTGACAATCTTTAGTAGATGTTTAAGGTGCATTGTTTTTATAAAGAAGTATGCACACTTTCATCCTTACAGCTGACAATCTTTTGTAGATGTTTAAGGTGCATTGTTTTATAGAAATGTGTGCACACTTTCATCCTTACAGCTGACAATCTTTTGTAGATGTTTAAGGTGCATTGTTTTATAGAGATGTATGCACACTTTCATCCTTACAGCTGACAATCTTTTGTAGATGTTTAAGGTGCATTGTTTTATAGAGATGTATGCACACTTTCATCCTTACAGCTGACAATCTTTTGCAGATGTTTAAGGTGCATTGTTTTATAGAGATGTATGCACACTTTCATCCTTACAGCTGACAATCTTTTGTAGTTGTTTAAGGTGTATTGTTTTATAGAGATGTATGCACACTTTCATCCTTACAGCTGACAATCTTTTGTAGATGTTTAAGGTGCATTGTTTTATAGAGATGTATGCACACTTTCATCCTAACAGCTGACAATCTTTTGTAGATGTTTAAGGTGCATTGTTTTTATAGAGATATGTGCACACTTTCATCCTTACAGCTGACAATCTTTTGTAGATGTTTAAGGTGCATTGTTTTATAGAGATGTATGCACACTTTCATCCTAACAGCTGACAATCTTTTGTAGATGTTTAAGGTGCATTGTTTTTATAGAGATATGTGCACACTTTCATCCTTACAGCTGACAATCTTTTGTAGATGTTTAAGGTGCATTGTTTTTAAAGAGATGTGTGCACACTTTCATCTTTACAGCTGACAACCTTTTGTAAATGTTTAAGGTGCATTGTTTTTATAGAGATGTGTGCACACTTTCATCCTTACAGCTGACAACCTTTTGTAAATGTTTAAGATGCATTGTTTTTATAGAGATGTGAGCACACTTTCATCCTAACAGCTGACAATCTTTTGTAGATGTTTAAGGTACATTGTTTTATAGAGATGTATGCACACTTTCATCTATACAGATGACAATCTTTTGTAGTTGTTTAAGGTGTATTGTTTTATAGAGATGTATGCACACTTTCATCCTTACAGCTGACAATCTTTTGTAGATGTTTAAGGTGCATTGTTTTATCGAGATGTATGCACACTTTCATCCTAACAGCTGACAATCTTTTGTAGATGTTTAAGATGCATTGTTTTATAGAGATGTATGCACACTTTCATCCTAACAGCTGACAATCTTTTGTAGATGTTTAAGGTGTATTGTTTTTATAGAGATGTGTGCACACTTTCATCCTTACAGCTGACAACCTTTTGTAAATGTTTATGATGCATTGTTTTTATAGAGATGTGAGCACACTTTCATCCTAACAGCTGACAATCATTTGTAGATGTTTAAGGTGCATTGTTTTATAGAGATGTATGCACACTTTCATCCTTACAGCTGACAATCTTTTGTATATGTTTAAGGTGCATTGTTTTATAGAGATGTACGCACACTTTCATTCTTACAGCTGACAATCTTTAGTAGATGTTTAAGGTGCATTGTTTTTATAAAGAAGTATGCACACTTTCATCCTTACAGCTGACAATCTTTTGTAGATGTTTAAGGTGTATTGTTTTATAGAGATGTATGCACACTTTCATCCTTACAGCTGACAATCTTTTGTAGATGTTTAAGGTGCATTGTTTTATAGAGATGTATGCACACTTTCATCCTTACAGCTGACAATCTTTTGTATATATTTAAGGTGCATTGTTTTATAGAGATGTATGCACACTTTCATCCTTACAGCTGACAATCTTTTGCAGATGCTTAAGGTGCATTGTTTTTATAGAGATGTATGCACACTTTCAACCTTACATCTGACAATCTTTTGTAAATGTTTAAGGTGCATTTATTTAATTACCACTGATTAAAAAAAATATTTCTTTCAAATTAAGGTAAATCATGAGGAGACTAGTTTATGTCACTGTGTCGCTTTGTTGCTTCTCCATCTACTAGATTGAATGTAAACAATATAACTCTGTATCCTAAAGCTAACATGTCGTTTGTTATGCTCATTTTCCATTAACGGTTGGTGTGAAATACTACTGTTTGTCCCTGAGATTGAATCGTGCTTCTACGATAATCCCAATATATCTGTGATATTATTCCAAGGTTTTGTCCGATTTAAGATATAAAAGTTTATCGATGTCGTGGATGTTATTATTATTATTATATGTACCAGCACCTAGAATGAAAGGTGAGAGGATTTTAGGCCTGTATATGTTTCTTTTCTTTATTTCATTTTTAAAATTTAGATCTTTCTTTTTTATGTAGCCGTTCTTAACATGCATGACATATTTGCCACTGGACGTTGCTCAACCAACACTCAAACAGCCATTTATATGTAGTTTGCTTTCACCAGTCATTTATTTTATCTGTATTATTTTCTTCGATTAGTAGTTACTTCATTTTCGGGCGTCGTCCAAAATATTTACGAAAATATCTGTCAGCTATATAAATTGGCGAAAACGTTTATTCAAGTGAATGCTTGCGCAGATTATTATTATCTAAATTATGTCTAATGAGTTTTAAGACAATTTATTAAACGTCTTATAATCAAGCTATAATTGTCTATGCTACTTATAAACAAACACAATTTTCGAATATCAGCCCAGTATCCAGTACTTCGGCATGACAATACAGATTTTGTGTTATCAAAATTTTCTGTTACAAAATTTTGGAAATTATTTTAGATCAAGAAATATATCACCTCATGTAAAGCTCTGATTCTTTTCCCGGCTTTGGCTATACTTGTTTTTGTTTTTTTTTTGGTTAATAGGTAACATCTTTTTAATAAGCTTTGGATTTTAAAATCTTTTGGCCTCGAGCATCACTGAAGAGACAAAGATTGTCGAAATGTTCATCTGGTGCAGAAAAATTGGTACCGTTTATGATTTTATCAATATAAATAGCATAATGCAAAGATAAAAATGCAATTAAATATATTTAATATTTTAAAAAGTACATGAATTGTCAGCATAACTAAAGCGTCTCAATGGTCTACAGTTTAGACAATTCTTACAGTGAACGATCCCTCCACTTAATGCCATGATCCACACTTTGGAAAATTTAGTGGTGGTTTCGGATGTTCATGGAGTTCGCCAACTTGAAAAACTAGGCCCATACCTATCTCTGCGTGAAATTCTATGTGACAGTGAAAAAACCAAAATCCTGAAAAAGACAATAAGTTATTGAGTATAATTGATTCTATCGGGACTACCAATAATATGTTTTCTTTCCTTTAAATTCCTGGTTTGTTTTAGTCAGCAATGCATCGAATTTACATGCAAGAAAGAATGTAACTGACCGGTTTTTATATAATATTTTGTGAGAGGTGGAAGAATATTCTATTATCTAAATCAAGATATCTAAGGTTGTTTTTACTGTAGCTGTGAATGGTGATTAAAAACACAGTTAAATCCGATTTCGATTTGACTTGAGACGTTTAATATCATAAGTTACTTCAAGACTTGTCGTGCTTGATAACCATTTTTTCTTCATCTTACTACTTTTCATTTAAATTTACGCGACTGTTTCTGATTAACAGATCAACGTTACTTTCCGTAAAATGTCTTCATAAATTATATTTTTTCAAATACAGAGCTCATTGCAAGTTTTCTATGGCAGCTTCAAGATGTGTAAAATTGCAACATTGTGTTTTACAGAAAAAATAGTACTGAACATATTCGTCTAAAAAGGTATGACACCAACTTCAATGCGCATGACAGGTTTCTCTGGAATAACCCTTCGAAGATTCGCTCGAGACTAAAAGGTTCGAACGCAAACCTTGCAAAATGTTAGAGAGAATTTTTCCCAAACGGAACAGCCAAAGTCGTCGATTTTAAACTTTGCCTGAGAGAGTTACAAGCTTAATTTTGTACAATAACAATACTAGTGAATTTTAGACGGATGATAAAAGTCCAGTAAACGCACAAAACGTATTTTTTGGAATTATCCTGATCATATACGCTCTGAACCAAAAGAATAAAAATGAAAATAGAATGTCATAATTGCACTCGTATCGTAAAATTCTACTGTCCTTTGGGAGATCAATAAAGCGTCAATTTCATTTAAAACTATCATACTAACTGCAATTACATGACGGGGTATTTGAAATGCACATAAAGCTTTAAAATTCTTTTGAGTTATATACTAATTCTAGTATACAAAATTATCAACTTAAATATAGGTAGATCTTCAAAATTATAGTGAAATAAAAAAAAAACTACGAGTCCACAAAAGATTTTGAATACTTAATTTACCAAAACATTGGAATGAGGTTATGTGTCTTGATGGGGAATTTATGAATCATTGCCATGCTATCACATTATACTCAGTTTTAGTTTGTTTTTTAAAGGTAACACATATAAAACATATTTACCTGGATTAGTAGCATGGAACCTGATAATAGTGTACCCGCCATCTGGTACAGTTATAGTGTCTTTAGCTGCCCGTTTTGTAAGATTTCTGTTCAATAATCCAAGGTCGTCTAGTTTTTTTACTTCCTCTAAAGTTGTAGTGGATCCAAGCTGTAAGTAATATGCAAATGCAAATTATTTATGTCATTATTTTGTCGTCAGTATTCCTATTCTTTAATCTGTACAAAGAAGAATTATTTATGTCATTATTTTGTCGTCAGTATTCCTATTCTTTAATCTGTACAAAGAAGAATTATTTATGTCATTATTTTGTCGTCAGTATTCCCATTCTTTAATCTGTACAAAGAAGAATTATTTATGTCATTATTTTGTCGTCAGTATTCCTATTCTTTAATCTGTACAAAGAAGAATTATTTATGTCATTATTTTGTCGTCAGTATTCCTATTCATTAATCTGTACAAAGAAGAATTATTTATGTCATTATTTTGTCGTCAGTATTCCTATTCTTTAATCTGTACAAAGAAGAATTATTTATGTCATTATTTTGTCGTCAGTATTCCTATTCTTTAATCTGTACAAAGAAGAATTATTTATGTCATTATTTTGTCGTCAGTATTCCTATTCTTTAATCTGTACAAAGAAGAATTATTTATGTCATTATTTTGTCGTCAGTATTCCTATTCATTAATCTGTACAAAGAAGAATTATTTATGTCATTATTTTGTCGTCAGTATTCCTATTCTTTAATCTGTACAAAGAAGAATTATTTATGTCATTATTTTGTCGTCAGTATTCCTATTCATTAATCTGTACAAAGAAGAATTATTTGTGTCATTATTTTGTCGTCAGTATTCCTATTCTTTAATCTGTACAAAGAAGAATTATTTATGTCATTATTTTGTCGTCAGTATTCCTATTCTTTAATCTGTACAAAGAAGAATTATTTGTGTCATTATTTTGTCGTCAGTATTCCTATTCTTTAATCTGTACAAAGAAGAATTATTTGTGTCATTATTTTGTCGTCAGTATTCCTATTCTTTAATCTGTACAAAGAAGAATTATTTATGTCATTATTTTGTCGTCAGTATTCCTATTCTTTAATCTGTACAAAGAAGAATTATTTGTGTCATTATTTTGTCCTCAGTATTCCTATTCTTTAATCTGTACAAAGAAGAATTATTTGCGTGTATTATGCATTCATGACAGTCAATAACAATGACCATTTTGAAGACTGTGGTAAATGGGGGAAGTACAAAATGTATGTGCATAGAGGAACGTTAAATAAAAAAGCATGGTCAAATGAAAATAAATTGAAGGTTTGGACGGTGCATTTTTAAATTTTTCAATATACATTTATAAATGAATGAAACTATAATTTCGAAGCTTGGTTAAGTTGGATCTATTTTGTCTATTAGAGATTTCCAATAAAATGACATACGTACCTAACTCGACGTACGCACGTAACGGGACCGGTAATTGCTAACCTATTAATTTTGTTAAATGCGTCACTTAAGTTTTAACTTAGTATTCCTAAACTATTAAACCCATTCATGATAAATTTTATCAATATCAAGTATTTCTAAGATGATGAAAAACGAAAGAAATCATGATTTTTATATATCACGTGATTATTGAGATTCCCGCCAAAACTTCACTGTCATAAGACTACGTATATACACGTATCTTTACCTATCATACAATTGATTTGAGTCTTCTATCATGGTTTTGACTTTGCAAATGAACCTCTTATTATTTAATATTTGACATGCTTTTATTTTTCGTTATCAGATTGGTGTCCCTTTTTCCTTTCGTCTCTTAATGTTTTATAATATTTAATTTCCGTGGGTATTTATTATTAGACAGAGATTTTTCTAGCAATTTCAGAAATATCGAATTCAAAGTGTTAGTCAGAATTTGTCTCTGTTAAAGTTGATAACTGGGATTACATCATACTTTATTAAGCATCATTTCAACCGTTCTTTTCTTCTGCAGTTAATCTTGTTATTTTTTTTACAATCTCCGATTTTTTTCCCAAGGAAAACATTCGACAAAGGGATGTATGTGTATATTTAAAAAAAATATTAACACAGTTCTTGTACTTCTTGAAATTTTAATAGTTAACATACACTTTTCTTTCAAATGAAAGTCAACATTAAAAAACGAGAATTTTGTAATCAATAATGATATATGTAAATAAATATGTACACCAATTCGTTATATAGATTTTAATTTGGAAGGTGTACTTGATTAGCAATTGATGACTAATCTGCATATAAACATTGACCGCTGTGGATAGTAAACTATCAATTTATAGTACATAGTAATTGGCTAAAAATGTCCTGTCCCCAAGTATCTCTGATTAAAAGTGGACGAGAATGCCAATTTGTATACTTGTTGCATTGTTAAGACAACTATAATGCCACTCCAGTCTTTACAGTAATTTTCTTTTTAAAATGTACTTTTAATTAATAAGGCTTGATATTGTCATAGTTGTTTTTGGATTATGGATTCTAAAACTATCACACATTGATTGAGTTAAGCAAAACATTTTAGTTTCAATTTTTGACTCGCCTTAGAGGTATATATTTATATATAAAAGTTAAACTCTACGACATATCCATGCATAGGATCACCAGTGAAGGTGATACACGGCTGAAAACACATTTTATATTAATAATTTCTTTAAATATGTATATAGTTATCAAAGGTACCAGGCTTATAATTTGATACGCCAAACGCGCGTTTTGTCTACATAAGACTCATCAGTGACGCTCAGATCAAAATAGTTAGAAAGCCAAACAAGTATAAAATTGAAGAGCATTGAGGACCAAAAATTCCATATGTAAACCAAGCTCTCTGAAAAAAGGTTTTTCCAGGTTGTTCTTATGTCGTGCTGTTGCACCACTGTCCCAGGCTTAGGGGGAGGGGGTTGAACACTCATTCCTTATGTGCCTGTCCCATGTCAAGAGCCTGTGATTCACTTGTTGACGTTGGTTCATATCTGTTATATTTGTTTTCCGTAAATTGTTTTGTTTTAAATCAGGCCGGTAGTTTTCTCAATTGAATTATTTCATATTTTTCAAGTTGGTTCCTTTTATAGTCGACTATACGGTATGGATTTTTCTCATTGATGAAGGCCGTACGGTTGCCAATCATGGCTTACATCCACTTCATTTCTTATTGGCAATCATACCATATCTCCTTATTTTTCTTATTTTTTTTTAACTAAATACGTTTGATATTCTCAGATAATTTAACATGTAAGAATTAGCTTTCAGTACCTGTGGGTACTTTAAGATCGGTACTCTTTGTCTTTCATTATAAAAATGTAATTGTTTTAGGCTTAGTTCAATATTGATTAGTTGAGCTGTTTCGAACTGAATTTTACAGGTTTTTTTCTTCTTATATTGTACTGTTACACCAGAGTGTTGAGCGCTGGTAAACGCGTTTAATCAGGCCAAATTCTATATTGGCTTTCCAAAGTCAGGAGCTTTCAATTCAGTGGATGTCGTTGGTTACTTTCTGTCATTTTGGGGTTAATTTTACTCTTGTAAAAATGTTTATTTTCGTTTGACATGTTTACATTTTTCAAAGTCAATGCCTTATATACTATAGTATCTGATAATACGGTATGAGTATTTGCTTATTGTTGACGACAGCACGAGCCACTGTAGTCGTAATTCACGCCATTTGGACTCTGTTTGATAGTTGGACGCTCCAAACGGATCCAGGTATATACATGTCGGAGTGTAATGAATAAATCGAAAATAGAATGCATGCTAAGCATACTAATGCTTTTGAAGAGAAAATTGTAAATATTTGTTGAACCGGGATAGACTGGCGGACGGACAGACAGAGTGCTTGCAATATGAGTGCAGGTACAATATTTTATCAGTGCATGTATCTTAGATGCTAGTGGTAAGGAAGTCTGGATAAAAACGGGGTAATATTTACTTGTTAAAAAATATTTTATACTATTTAGAATAATAATTGCATACCTACTGGATATTAATACAATAGCAAGTCACAAGGATAATGGAAACACCATTTTACAATAAAAACTAAGCTTTTTGATACAAAGAAACAAGGAGAAAAACCAAACAAATTATGCAACAAAACAAGTGTTGCTAGAATAGTAATATATGCACATAAAGTATGAAATATATAAACAGAATTTATTAGATATGGGATTGACTGGTAGCAGATTAGCCTCGATTACGGGTTCAATTATTTTGTTGGACCCCCTGATCGAATGATTTTAAAACTGGATTTTTCGGCTTCACCACCAAGCATGATGCATTCACGAGTAAGAGCAGGTGTTGGTTTAATCAAAGAAAGACAAGTGTGTCTTTGTATCGGGTACGCTAATTTACCTAGCATATAAAAATGCGCCTGTAAGTGTTGGTCATGTACAAAAAGGTATAATCATTTATCATTATCATTTCATCATCCTTAATATATATGTAATATTAGTCGCTGGATATAAGACAAGCATCAGTATCATCATCATCATAAGTATTATAGCTTGAGGCTAAATATTCGTCGTATTCATTATAGCTTGTAAGTATCGTAGCTTGAGGCTAAATTCTTATCTGATATTTTAGCCAATTTATGTCGAGAACTTATTTTACGCATGCATCTCTTTTCTACATAGTTTTTATAAATGTCCAAGTTAAAGCTAATAGAGATCATAGAAGTATGTTTATCAAATGATCATGTCTACTCACAATTAAAACAGTTAGAAAGGGATTGACTCGTCCGACTAAAACGAAGCACAAAAACAGCAATTACTAGTATTTCCAAATAAACTCCATGTACCGATCTTAGAGTATATATTCACAGCTACTGAACACTATGATCTTAAAAACAACTACTACTAATAAATACAGAATAATTATCCAGTCTAGAATATTAATCAATTATTTCGTACTGTTACACCACTGTATTATGTAAGTGGGCCCGTTAACATGTTTAACTCTGCCACATTATGTATGGATGTGACTGTCCCAAGTAAGGAGCCTGTAATCCAGTGGTTATCGTTTGTTGCTGTGCTTTCGTTCATTTTTTTGTACATTATTTAGGCCGTTAGTTTTATACTTGTAGTTGTTTTACATTTGTCATTTTGTGGCCTCTTATAGCTGACTACTCGGTTTGGGCTTTGCTCATTGTTGAAGGTCGTACGGTGGCCAATAGTTGTTAATTTCTCTGTCATTTGGTCTCTTGTGAAGAGTTGTCGAATTGGCAATCATACTACATCTTCTTTTTTGTACACATCACAAATTAAGTAAAAAAGTACATAAACCTGTCCTAAGTCGGGAATCTGATTACAGTAGTTGTCGTCTGTTTATGTAGTTCATACGTGTTTCTCGTTTCTCGTTTTTATATAGATTAGACCGTTGGTTTTTCCGTTTGAATGGTTTTACACTAGTAATTTTTTGGGGCCTTTTATAACTTGCTGTTCGGTGTGAGTCAATGCTCCGTGTTGAAGGCCGTACCTTGACCTTTAATGGTTTACTTTTATAAATTGTAACTTGGATGGAGTGTTGTCTCATTGGCACTCATACCACATCTTCCTATATCTATAAACACTAGAAAAGCAAGACCTTGTGTCATGTCAAAAGCACAGAGTGCCTGTAGGACCATTCGTGTTCATAACTGTATAGCAGATTATATGTAGTTTCTATAAAATGTAATGATAATTTATCAGTAAAAGATACATGATTATTTGTTAGTGGAATTATATATAGCTAGATAAATGAATATCTATATTAAAAGAAACATCAGAAACGAGAATATGTGTCCATTAGATTTCACGCCAGTATCACATTTCCGTGTTGAGTGAGCTCTAAATCTAGGAAAAAATCCAATTCAGTTTGTAGTCTTAAACTTTTAAATCTCGTGCGAGATGTCTAAATTAATGTTCAAACATTGTTGTTTTTAAAACGTATTTATCAAAGTCAAACGACAATCATTTAATTTTTTTTTTTGGTGCCATACAATTTGTGATTATAGCCGGATCCAAGATATTTGAATGAGGGCATAGTTCCCGATAATTGAATTTATACTGCCGAGCGGAGCAACGCGAAAAAGAATTAGACGATTTTATACTAAACATTTGTATAGATAACATGGAAAACGTGAGATTTTCCAAATTATTTAGCGATCGAAAGGGGGGAGTACGCCCTCTACCCCTGTATCTGTGAATGCACGTTTAGGTATACATGGACAAAAACCTCGTCCCATGCATTATTATAGTTGAAGACTAAAAAATACTATTTGATAAATGTATCAATGATATAAATTTCTGTCAAATTATCCTGAATTAAATTATAGAATTTTTATTTTTTTTTAAAGTTAGTCGCGTACACCTTTTACATTCGGGTGTGTTGGAATCTACTTTTTAAACGTTAAAACGTATAAAAACAAAAAAAAGAGATAAACTTCTCGCTTCGAATTTCATTATTTTAATATTTTCATGCTAAATGTTTATTTGGTAGTTTTTAAAATTCACAATTTGAGAAGAACTGAAATATGGGTCCAGTGAAATGACAAGAAATGGTGGGTGTATTTGATTACAAGTTGATAGCTTAAGTATTCCATTAAAATATTTTTGTCAATAAAATCATTCAAAATTTAATGACAAAATATTTAAAGATTAAAAAAAGTAGTTGGGATTGATTTTTACATTAAGTCTATATCAGCAAAAAATGCGTGTTCAAACAGCAAAAAGTGCATGCAGTGTATGCTCCCCTCCGTCATGCTTCAATGCAATAGGACGAAATACGTTGAGTTAGGTCGGTTATGTCGAGTAAAGTCATTTTATTGGAAATCTCTATTACTACTCGATTAAACTTTTCAAATTTTGTTTTATGTTTTTGAATTCTTAAATAAGCTTGTCTAAATAAAGCATGTGCCGCAATACTGAGGTGTTGCATCAACATTACTATCTGTTAATTTTATCTTATCTTCCGATTAACTGGACGTCCACGCTGAAACACAAACCCCCGTACATGCAGTTAAGTTCTCTATGCTTTAAAAGAAAGGAGATAGTAATAATCAGACCACATATTTAGCCCCTGCAATTCAAAAATCAAAGCGAATTATAGAAATATTATAATATATCCTTCAAATTTTCTCAAAACATTATTTTGTAAGGTATCCCTTTTGATAGTCTGAATAGTGTCGTAATTATTTGTTTCCATATATAAAAATTGAATGCAAACCTTATAAAGCTACTAAATGAAAAAGACATACGATACCAAACTTATCAGGATTGAATATATATTTATAACATACTGTTCAATGACTGAAATATGCATACGATCTTTAACAACACAACAAAAGGTACAATTCTACCAACCCTATCCATCCCAACTACTCGGAAATAATTCCCATGTAAATGCATGGGATGGTTTGCATCATATGTATGCCCTTCATCAATCAGCACCAGTTCTACTGTATCTCCTAGTGACACTTTCTGTACATGTACACATTCACAATACTCATTGGTACAGTCAGTTGTCTTACTCAGTGTCTCTGGATTGCACAATAATTCCTACATAAAAAGAAATAATTGCTTGATTAGGTTAGTCAATGCACCTGTTCTAGATATATTCACACAAATGAGTTCTTAACTTAATAATAAAAAAGTATCACTATGTTTAGTTTATTTTATGAAGCTGGTACAATGTATATCTTTGTATATGTGTTTGAGAATAATTCTTAATTTTTCTTCATGTTATTTCTAGTAAAATTTCATCTTAAAATGGCATCTGTCATGTGTTTGTTGTTAGTTAGCTATACCTCTACCAACTTAAAAAAGGAAGTCTTTCTCTGACATTACTGGATTAAAATATAATGGTGTGAATAACAGAAAATGTAAATTGTAAGTCAGTGAAACAGCAACCCAACGACACAAACAACCAACAAAAATCTAGAGGCCAAGAAAAATAGTTCTCATCAAGTTTCAATGAATTAAACAGAGAGTAGCAGGGTTCTGCCATCAACACTAACTTCTCCAAATGAAAAAAAGCATCAAGATATGACGTCAGACAACCACTGAAGAGGTTTCTGAGTTAGGACACAAAAAAATTTAACATGAAGATGTGGTAGGGTTAAACTACTTTATCGAGATCTCATCAATCCCAGTGTTCCAACATGAAGATGTGGTAGGGTTAAACTACTTTATCGAGATCTCATCAATCCCAGTGTTCCCACATGAAGATGTGGTATGGTAAACTACTTTATCGAGATCTCATCAATCCCAGTGTTCCCACATGAAGATGTGGTAGGGTTAAACTACTTTATCGAGATCTCATCAATCCCAGTGTTCCCACATGAAGATGTGGTAGGGTTAACCTACTTTATCGAGATCTCATCAATCCCAGTGTTCCCACATGAAGATGTGGTAGGGTTAAACTACTTTATCGAGATATCATCAATCCCAGTGTTTAATCTCGATTAATCCACTAACAAACGGGAAAAAGAACTTCAACAATGACCATATCTATCCAATCAGCATGACCTCATTATACTATATGTGGAACAAACTGATGTTATTTTTTCTCACTTTGAAAGCGCAAGACATCAATTTAACTTTTATTGCCGTAATAGTCCCCAAGTTGTACTGTCAAACCTCTAGACAGAGGTATTTACCGCTTACAGTACCATAGATATTACTGTCATCTTGGAGGCAATAATATTGCCATCTATATGACAATTAATTTATCATCGCAACACATAACAACGTGGTAAAACGTATAAAAAGTATAGTTCATTAACGTACGATCGAATGTTTTTTGCGCATGACAATATTTGAATTTCTACTTTTGTTACTAGCTGAAATTAATGACAACTTAAAGAAATTTTAAATTATGCTTGACGATATAGATTCTGATTTACCATTGTTTAGAATATTTGTCATTTAATCGATTTGCACAGATTCGATGAAACCGAAAAAGTATATACCTTTTTCGGTACCCTAAACTATGTTTTGTATAACAAAAGTTATGATAGTTTTTCTTGAAATAAAATCTACAAGATTTAAGATATCTTTTGGTTGTTTGTGCTGATGGGTAACTGATCCAACATCTCATTTTAAACATACCAATAAATAACATTTTTTGTATAAAATAATATCACTGTTGGATGGACGTTACACTTTCAAAGAGTTTTGTTGTGATGTTTCAACTTTTAAGACTAGAACTATAGATACTGTCACCCAGTAGACAGAACACATTATCATCAGTCTAAATCGTCAGTTGTTGTTCTTTTTCCTATAAAAAGCGTGTACTTAACAGAGTATCTGCATGCAAATATACGATGCATGTACCAATTTTAAAGACTTTTATAGACTTACGAATAGAGCATCTAGCAGTTTAGACTAGACGGTCTACAATCGTCGAAAAAGAATGTCATATTCATTTTTTAAGTCTTCTTTTAACTTACCTTTGGAATGGCATTAAATTGCGATAATACAGGTGATGGTGGTAAAATGTTAGATATGTGATTAATCTGTGGCGTAAAATGGATATGGTCATGCATTTGGTACATATCATTTAATCGGTAGTTGCTAATATTGTAGAAGTCCATCGCCAAATAAAAGCGTTTGTCGGGAATATCTTTAAGGGATGCATCATCGTCAAGTTTTGATACCAAAGTGGAGACTGGAATAAGTGTCTCTGTCTCTTTAGTATTCAATGGGTTCAGTATCTGTAATTAAAACGATGGTAGAAAATAAAATATTACTGTATTGACATACATGTTTAAACGAATGATATGAACAAAAAACGCCGATATCACAATAGAAATTTCAACCAAAAGTTAATTTGTTTTTTTGTAAAATGAACATTCTTACAAGGAACTCTTATGAGTTATGTTTGTCTATCGTTTCTGATACACAGTTTATTCAATTGAAGGCGTCTTTATAGTTTTTTAGTATTTTTTTAACTTGTCCCCCCCCCAATATCTTTGCCTTTATCGGGGGGAGGGGTGTCTCCAAGGATACATGTATGTTGACGTGACGTTGCTTTGTAAATCGGGCAAATATTTGTTTTGTCTATGCTATATTGTTTCAGCGTTTAAGGCATGTCGTTATGTCATATAAAGCTTACTTCTTTGAATTAAAAAAAAAATTTGCCATACATTGATCTCAAAGTGTTCATTTTACGTTTTTTTTTTGTTCTATTAAATGTTAGATCATTGCGTTGTTGAGGTTTTCCAATATATATTTTTTATTTATAAAATATTTATAATTTATGAATAGTCTAGATCTATTATACTTTATAAAAAATATTAATTAGGATGACATTTTTACAGAAAGTCATAAATATTAGTCATTCATTTATACCCTGCATGTAACTTTATGTACTACAGGGGTGTTTAACGACCTTCACTACCCATGCAAGTCTCTTACAGTCGGAACTTTGAACTTATACTACCAAAATAGGGACTTCTATATACCTTTCCATCTCTTTTTCCATCATCATGAAATCTTGATTCCGAGGGGTCAGTCTCATTGGCTCCTCGATATCTTATTATAGCAAGCTGAGAAGCATTTTTCACTTCGCAGTCTGCAAGTCCTACTACTCTCATCCAGTAATTGTCAACCGGCTGATCACCGTTTATGATGACGTCATAGCGCTCTCCGTTGTACATTACCAGACTTTCCACTTCTATTGGTTCGACTGGAGTTCCGTCCGTAGCTATAACTGTTAAGTTGTGGTCATCAATAGAGATTAGTTTTGGACAATAAAGTAGACCGTTACTGATCAGTCGAAAGCGGTATTGGCGACCAGAGTCGATTGTGAAAACTTCAAATGGCGTGTAGACTTCACTTCCTGTAGACGCCGTAAACTTTTGAAATGCTCCCTTTCCTAAGACATAAAATTATGAATAAAAACAAAAGAAATCATTAAAACTTAAGGGATGATAAGTGTATCAAAATATTCTATATGAGATATAAGTAGAAGATCCTTTGAAATCGATAATCATGGTAATCTTTCAATTCCCGCGGAGACGAACGTTACTTTACCTGCTTTACACGGAGAGATTAGAGAGATGCGAGCGGGTATGGGAGAAACGAAAATAAAAAGTTCCTGAAAATACGTGTTTGGAACTAAAACCGGCTTTATTCTAGAAAGAGCATACAAAAACTGTCTTCAGTTAAGACGAAATACACATTAGACAGAACTCGTTATCCTTTAAAAAAAAAAGAAAAGAAAATAGATCTTATTACGTCAAGAAATTGTCAAAAACATCGCATTTCCACTATAATTGTTAAGTTCCCATTATAGAGATCACACAGTCCTAGAAAAAAAAATTGAAAGTAATATAACAGGAAAATCTAGATAGCAAACAAGGTGTTCAATTAATCAAATAACCCAACCATTGCTCAACAGTACGTTGAAATTAAGAGATACAAATTGTTTGAATTATCTACAGAAAAGGTACTTGACTCGAGCCTACCAGAAACAGATAATGTCTTTCTGAGCTATCTTCGACAAAGTAGTCATTTGTCCCAAATGATACGTTTTTTAAAAGTGTTTTAAGTTGGGATATATCCTAAAGATAATCGTAAGGAGCACCTAAGATCACCCCCAGTTTTTGGTGGGGTTCATGTTGCTCAGTCTATAGTTTTCTATGTTGTGTTTTGTGTACTGTTGTTCGTCTGTTGGTCTTTTTCTTTTTTAGCCATGGCGTTGTCGGTTTATTTTCGACTTGTGAGTTTGAATGTCCCTTTGGTATCTTTCGCCTCTCTTTTAAGTTAGTTCATCAAAACATATGTCTTAAGATGTGAATTATAAGATAACCATTTACTATAACTTACTTACTTTAATCAAAAGAAGTAAAATATAATGAAAACATTTATGATCGTAAATTTTCTAGACATTAATAGTTGTTTCAAGGCTGGTTTACAATTTCGACTGATATTTCTAAAAATACAGTCATTCCAAATTGTACCAAAGTCTTGGCCATTCCTCTTATAGCAAACTTGTACGATCTAATCACCCTCCATATGTCACGTGTCCTTCAGAGAAAGCTCTGCGTGAAACAAGACTTGAGATATCTTCAATGTACTTTTCTTTAGATCTAAATTCATTGCATCGTTTAACAAAATGTGCTTTTTCATTTATCTATTGATAATTAATTTTGTATTCATCTAAATACCTTAAACGGTAACGACACATCATTAAATTAACAGAACCAACATCATCTATTTGGAAAATTAATAGGGTCTCTTTCAGATAGTCCATGTACATTCACATATTGTTGTATATCTTAGCGATTTTGAGCTCGACATATGATATAGGTAATGTCTACAGTTAAAAACGTAAACTATGTTTAATTTTATTGTGTCGTTTGATTATTGTATTGTTGTTTTTCACTCAATGCCCCATTTTTATTTATATGTATCGTGTAAAAAATGTGCAAAAAATGTACCGTTTATTAGCATTGATGCTGGTTTATTGTCACCATCCGCAAGATAATGATGGGCAAATTTGTTGATTGACAGCTCTGTTAACCAATCGTTAATGATTACTGTATACTCTGGTGTGTCAATGTCGTACATGTTGTACTGTGGATCTTGTTCAGGGGTTTGACGTATGACTAACGGTCCAAAGAATCCATCAGATCTCTGTAATCCTGAGTGAGCATGCCAAAAGTGTGTTCCTGGTGTCGATGCCTTAAATCTAAAGATACAATATTAGAACTATTATTTGGATCGGTCTGTCTGATCTTTATTTGTTTAGCTTTGACATAATGCGTGGCAAAGTAATGACAAGGTGGATGAACGGGTTAATGTATTGACTGTGCTACAATGCTTGGTCGAAATTAATAAATGCCTATTGTTCATGCCACATTATAGTATATCTTTTTGCTTTCTTTATTTGTTGTCGTCCAGGCTACATTTTGTAACAGAAATACGAGTATGCTGGATATTTGATGTCTGTTATATTTTTAAATACAAATTTTGTTTGCATATAAGATCATACAAGTCAGTTAGAAATGATAAGATAAGACATTACTGCTATATTATTGTAGGAAAATACAATATAGAGATTCATTTCTATAAAGTTGCGTTTATCTCTTTGAGTTTGTTTGTAAAATCTCCATTATATAATAATAATAGTTTTTCACACTGTTATAAACGTACTTGTACTGGAATGAAGTGTATGGTAGTATTGGACACTGTGTTACCATGGCTACACCATCCATAAATTGTGATTCTTTCTGGTGTATACCATGCCAGTGTATAGATGTTCCTTCGCTACCCTCCAGCTTATTATGAACATTTACAACTATTGTATCATTGTAACATACCTGTAAACATAAATATGGTTTCATTGTGGTTTGAAGTACATGTAGATGTAACCGTACAAATAAAAATACACGGAGAGAAAATAATGAAAACAAGAGCACAGGTTGAAGAGCGAATAAAGTTATTGGACACATAAACCTTCAAATATATTAATCGTAGGAGGAAGACCAATTATAAATGTAAATAAGGGATCTTTATGATTTGCTTGTTCAGTTTTTATTTACAAGACTATTTTTCTTTTCCAGTTAAGAAAAGCAGGTGGTATTTACTACCTTGTTCGCTTATCTTAACCGCTTTCTTTTACATTTGTTCGATTGTATTTGCAAACCAATCACTCAATAATCGAAGTACGTGCTACCGAACGCATACACAATTCATTCGGACGACACATCCGTTAAAGTATTGATCGGCCACTTATTGTCATTTTTAATGATTACGTAAGGTATTTTGACTTACTTAAGGAACAAAGGTTACCTTTTGTACTTTGCTTCGTTTTATCTTTATATGATAATCGGGAAAGTAGTGATTACCTTTGGAGTTGATATTAATGGAAGCATTTGAGGCATGGTTCTAAAGAGACACGAAGACATATGACCCAATAACTTTCAAAACTGAGAGATACGTGATCGTACAATTTTCATAAAACAAAATCGATTTTAAGGTTGAATAATAGTTGGACCTGGTTATTCGTCCTTGTAACATATGAATTTCATTACAGATATTAAATAAGAGGTTAAGATTTCCTTCAGATTGTTTAAAAGGATCTGACATAATAAGCTTAATCAATAATATCATGTTGATTACTAGTAATACTAGACTCTAGAATCTAGACTCCTCATACATTTTACTTCATGGTTTTCAATTCTATAGTCTAGGCTGACCTTAGACGGCCTTTGCTGTGTTTGTGCTTTTTTGTAATAAACGTACCCTTTATGCTTATTCAAAGCTTATTTAGCTGAACTTCCTTTTTATCAGAGATGATGTGCTTAATTGTGACTAAAATAACTCATAATTAACGCATGGAAGATACTACTATCAAAACGGTGATTGATATATGGTGCTCCGAAAGAGTTATTAAATCTATCCTATTTAAGAAGTCTTTCTTAATTCAATCGCTGTAAAGTTATGATAAATGTTAAGAGTTTAGAGAGAGCTTTTATCTGAATGAACATAAATTCAGCTAACAATCAATGTTTGTGCAGAGGCTTGTACAGTTTTTGGAACGGAATAATTAGATAAATTTATATATCTTACATGAATTCCAGGGCCAGGTAACATCCTGTTCACAGTGATTATTCCCCTTTGATTCCCATCCGCTGGAACACAATGAGGTCGTTCACAATCTGTTGTATTGTAAGGACAGTCGTAACAAGACTTTGTAAGAGTATAATAGTATTCAACTGTAAAGTTGTATTCACATGTCATTGGATAATCTGTTTTACATGGTCTTATGCACGGGTGGTCCTTGTAGTCTGAAACAAATATGTTAGAATGCAAAGAAAAATATGTCAAAATAAAAATGGGTGTAACTATATGTCCCCACACCGGACAATCTTCAAAAATAAGCAAAACCCTATCCATATTTGGCTTTAAATGACCCCGACATGACAATATGGAAAACAAGTCAAATCAGAAAACTACCGGCCTGATTTGTGAACTTGAAAAACCCTAGGTTAAGAAATGTTGTACTGAATTGCGAAATTATATTAGTTTTCAGAGGATATTACTTTTAAAAATATACCATCTGAACCATGAATCAGCATTACATGTAGCTACGTGGTATAAAACAACATCTAATGTGATGTGTAAGCTGAAATTTTGTCTTTACAACAGTAACATAATATCCGTTTCAAAAAATTAAATGTATATGTACAGTCTCGTATGATTGACAGTAAATATCTTTTCATGCAGCTTATTGGCTGAAAAATCCCTAAATGGCTTATGCCTTACTGGCCATAAGAACTTTCTCAGATTTATTCAAGTAAGTACATATTAGTTTTAAAGAAAAACCCAGAAAAGAAATATCTTAAATATCCTTTTATTTTATTCTTTACAAAAAAGAATTCCATTGAATACATAGTGAATTCAAAGAAACGAAAATTAGCGATCGTGCCGACAGTGTTGTTTTAGATTTGTTTTCATTTTAATTGAACGGTCTTGAGGGTTTCTAAGACAGTAAATGTTTTGACAGTTCTTTTTATACAAGATACAGTGTATATTTCTTTAAGGAAAGGGATGTTGCTAGATTGCATTGCTGTCTCATTTACTTTAAACACCATCTATTTTCTTGCATATTTGATAAGAATATTTGCATTCTTTTCTTCTTAAAAAATATGAAATAATATTGTAGTTTATTTAATATTACCTTTTTTTCTTTAAAAGCTATGCTCAATATTATTATTTATTTCTATGTTTACTTGTTTCTAAACTTATCCGTCTCCAAAAATTAATAATTCATACCTCGTAATAAAATATGACCATGCGATTCCACCAAAAATAGTAATATAATTGTCTTCAAAATGAGCAAGTTTGTTTCCATAAATTGTACCATTGTATTTTTTTTATTAACCGATGCTTCTTTCACTTTATTTCAGATTGAAATAGTTCACTTTTATAATAGTTCACTTTTATAGCATACGGGAAGTTTAATTAATTTGATAAGAAAATCTTATGTCAATTTACCCTCTTTTTCATCATGTAAAATAAAGTTCACCCCTGCTCATATATAATAAATCATCGATTTTAACTGATAGGTACTTTAGTACGTGCATAGTATATCGTATACAAGTACTTATGGTCATTGAAAACTCAGCTTTAATTATAAAAAAGGCATGTGGTATCAAAGAAAAGTAGATGCAAATTATAGTACATTTAAATAAAATTAACTCCACTTACCTCTTTCGATCAATGATTTTTCTCCCTACTTTTTAAGAAGCATGGTCGGGACGCTTCTAGAAATGCCCTAGGTTTGTCTCGGTTTATATAATAATAACTTCACTAATTCTTTTCGATCACCCTGCATCCAAATGGACATGACATAGAGGTTATAACTTATCCAAGTTTTAAAAAAGTTAATAGAAATTTTTATACAAATATAATTTTAATTATCATAATCGTGACTCTCTATATTCTATAGGGAACTATGTAATTTGATCACTTAGAAGTGTGCAATTAAACAAGGCATTTTGCCCAAAAAAATATGCATACTCATGGTAAAGAAAACAGTAACGTCAAAGATATAAGTACTGTTTATGTCTTGATTAAGAGACTCATGAGTTAAATTATGAAGAGTTAAGCCCATTTTAATATGTGTTAGATGTTTTTCTGCTTTGTATCGATCTGAAGAGTTAAGCCCTTTTCAACTTATATTTATAGTTTGTTCTTGTGTTGTACTGTTACACCACTCCTAAGTTAGGGGAGGGTTGGCGCCTTCAAAAATGTTTTATACCGCCCCATTCTTTATGTGCCTCTCCCAAGTCATGAGCCTGTAGTTCAGTGGTTGTCGTTGTTTCATATGTCTTCCATATTTGTTTTTCGTAAAATTAGGCCGTTAGTTTTCTCAATTGAATTGTTTCATATTTTCATGCCCAAAAAAATATGCATACTCATGGTAAATGAAGTGAATATAAGCAATTATAGGCAACCGTACGGCCTTCAAAAACGTGAAAAAAAAACCGTATAGTCGGCTATAAAAGGCTCACGAGTTAAATTATGAAGAGTTTTTATAGCCGACTATACGGTATTTTTTTTCACGTTTTTGAAGGTTGCCTATAATTGCTTATATTCACTTCATTTGAACTTTGAGGGATAGTAGTCTCATTGGCAATCATACCACATCTCCTTCTTTTAAACTATAGCAAATTATCTGATATTACACCCAAATCTGATGAATTTATGTTTTTTTTTTATTTCAAATCTAATGGTTTTGTTTTTTATTCAATAAGACGTATATGCGAGTAAAGTATACAGTAGTTCGTGAAACTACTTTTATGCTTGCAGAATATCAGCTTAGAAAGTTGAAATTCGGTCTGTATTATCTTTTTTAGATTTTTGTGGTGAAGCGGACGACTTATTCAACGAATACAATATATGGTCACTTGAAGAGCTGACACAACAAACGACGGTTTCAATAAAACAGAGTTTTGCTGCATTCAGGCAGGCAGGCTGACCCCATAAACATGTGTTGATATTTTTATGTCAATAGTATTCTGAATTTAAAGAACAAACATCATGATCATAACATCATAATATTTTTTTCCAATAGCCAAAATACCATTTTAACTTGACATAAGCCTATGTTAAAATACATGTATCAGCATTTAGTTGGAAAAGTTTAAGTTTGTAGGACAGTGCCCAATACTTCGAGTTGACCTTTTATAATGAACTTTTAAAATGCTTTAACTATTTTCCCAATAGTTTTAAGTCACTATAATAAAACCGATGTACATATTCTCATAAGATCTTCGAACTCTATCTAATCAATCTAATCCTCAATGTTCATCTTATCAGAACAAAGAAACCTTGAACAATGGCAGACAATCTAGATACCGTTGACTATGTTGTTATAGGAATCTATTTTATTGCAGTTTTATGTGTCGGCATTTGGGTAAGTTAAATATTCTCGTCGCTGACATTTACATGTACCGTTACGTTTTTTGACTAGTAGTGTTGACAGTTATTGAGTAAAACAATCGATAGATAAAGATATTAACCTCTGGTGTCATGTTTGTTGTACCTACGATTTCTGACCTAAAACATAGATTTTGATATGAATGAAAGGTGAATGAAAGGTGATGTAGGTATCTGACAATGACTTTAACCCCGTCGCATTTTTGCGCCTGTCCCAAGTCAGGAGCCTCTGGCCTTTGTATGTTTTTTTAATTTTAGTTCATTTATATGTTTTGGAGTTTAGTGTGACGTCCATTTTCACTGAACTAGTACACACTTTTATTTAGGGGCCAGCTGAGGACCACCTCCGGGTGCGGGATGTTCTCGCTGCGTTGAAGACCCATTGGTGGCCTTCGGTTGTTGTCTGCTCTTTAGTCGGGTTGTTGTCTCTTTGACATATTCCCCATTTCCATTCTCAATTTTATTAGTAAAACTATAAAACAGAAATATAATTATTGGCGAGCATACTAGAGTCTTTAACGATAGGCAAATGTATAAACATGAGTCATATAGTAAACTCTAAATATCATTCCTGAATACAGGTTCTAGACTAGTTGCGAAAAAATTTAGTAGAGACTACCAAAAATATCTAGAATCACATCAACATCGTTTAAAGTACAAACTGAGATATCAACAAAAGACAATCGATGACAAACACACTGTGATATCAACAAAGACAATCAAAGTACAAACACACACTGTGATATCAGCAAAGACAATCAAAGTACAAACACACTGTGCGAATCAAAAAAAACAATCAAAGAACAGACACACTGTGATATCAACAAAGACAATCAAAGTACAAACGCACTGTGATATCAACAAAGACAATCAGAGAACAAACACACTGAGATATCAATAAAGACAATCAAAGTACAGACACACTGTGCTATCAACAAAGACAATCAAAGTACAAACGCACTGTGATATCAACAAAGACAATCAGAGAACAAACACACTGAGATATCAAGAAAGAGAATCAAAGAACAGACACACTGTGATATCAACAAAGACAATCGAAGTACAAACGCACTGTGATATCAACAAAGACCATCAGAGAACAAACGCACTGTGATATCAACAAAGACAATCAAAGAACAGACACACTGTGCTATCAACAAAGACCATCAAAGTACTGACACACTGTGATATCAACAAAGACCATCAAAGTACAGACACACTGTGATATCAACAAAGACCATCAAAGTTCAGACGCACTGAGATATCAACAAAGACCATCAAAGTACGGACAAACTGAGATATCAACAAAGACCATCAGAGTACGGACACACTGTTATATCAACAAAGACCATCAGAGTACGGACACACTGTGATATCAACAAAGACCATCAAAGTACAGACAAACTGTGATATCAACAAAGATAATTTAGTACCCCTATCTATATCGATTAGTAGAAGAACGGACGTTGTGTCCATATGTTCATAGAAGAGCATAATTTACAATAAAAACTGGTTCTGAAAATGTATCAGCCTTACAATACCAGATGATAAAAGTAAAAGTACAAGTAAAGTGACAATGAATATTATATGTGCCATACTAAAGAAAATACTAAAAGCAAGCTCTTTGTAATTACTCTGCAGCTGATAAACAAATATGCTTTCGTACACTTTGATATTTTGCAATACTATGACTCTTGGTATTTTCTCCCCTTTCTTATACATCAACATCAAGAACATTGCAGAATACACAATTGTGCGGCAATTGAGAAAAGCAAATATCAAATGAAACTTGTTAGTCGTATTTCAAACTGCAAAAAGGCGAATCGCAATTTATCCCCGAAAAATACATGATGCAATGATTTAAAAATATTGTAAATCATAAATTTTGCCAATAAGTCTATTCCACTATGCAGCAACAAATATTTGAACAATTCGTACAGCAATGTAAACAAACAATTATATCATATTAAACTTGAAAAGTTCGAAGAAGATATTTAATTTACACGTATATTCATAGATTTTCATTGTATCAAGATGTGTTAATTTCTTTTAGTTAATGCAAAATACAGATTTGATAATTGTATGATTTTAGTCAACATGTCGTCCAAACAGAGGCAACACAACAGGATACTTTTTGGCGGGAAAATCAATGCACTGGATACCCGTAAGTACAAAGTATGAGAGATATAATCATCAAATCGAACGAAATGGAACGTATAAATTGCTTTAAAGTCAAGTATTATAGGCCTGTATAGGCGTTAGTGTTGTGTCTAAATAAATCAGAATAAAAATATCATAAACTGAAGTCGTACTTAGTTTGTAATTTTAACCAACACATGAAATCCGTCTAGTCCAGTTTGTAGGTATCATGCGCCTCGTAGCTGGGGTAATGTAAAGTGAAATATGAAAATTAATGTTGCCCGCGCTATTTCAAAACTCCTTTACTGCATGAGAAGGGATGAGGTATATGTCTGTATGCTTTTGATACCTTTCTCTTTCTTGTAACAAAGGTCTGAGACTCAGAACTTTTCTATACAACTTCCCATGAAAAACTTATTCGAACTATTACTGGGGACGCTTGTTTTGAAAACCCGGAGTAGGTGTAAATCAAACCATTTTAAAATGGAAAACTTCTGTTGAATAGTTCTCTGCTTCTGTTTTGATACATATCAGAAATGGTTAAAAGCGAACATGTAATTTGTCATTCAGCAGTTTCTTATTTCCTATTTCTGCTAATACTTTTTCTGCCATTAAACTAAAATTGTCCCTTGTATATTTGGTTAATGTTTTAGTTCGTAAGATTTATTGTACATGATTGTTACACTTAGGTCGGTGCATCCATTTATGCCAGTAACATAGGAGCTCCAATGTTTATTGGTTTAGCTGGAACAGCTGCTGCTTCCGGGTTGGCTGTTACTATTTATGAGTGGATTGTAAGTATTTGATTGAAGTTGATTTGACGGAAAATGCTTACAGTATTAGAGTCTAAAGTAATGGAAATAAAAAATATTCTAAAATGCACATTCCATATTCAATTTGAGTGGAAAATGATATATGGCTACAGTCGTTTTCCAAAAAACTCCAATAACGTGATCGTTTTTCTGTATACTGAATAGCTTTCGTTAGTCGAGTAATGCCTTTCCTCGTCGGCTTTATCTGAGGTTGTAACATGGTACATGGTATATAGTGGCAAGTAGATGGTGTACCTTGCAGATCAGCTGGGTCCCCCCCCCCTTTTTTTTTGTCTGTCTCAAAGGATGATAATTTTACTTACCATAATGTCACATAAAATTTTATCGTCAGTTAAAGACCTTCTTTGCTACACTCAAAAACTATAGTTTAGACTGCAAACAGTACAAAATGAAACAAACAAACACAAAGAAGCTTAGGATGCCACTTGTATGTACATATATGTATTGTTATAAATGATAATTTATTGAATCTCATTTTAGGCTGTATATTTCTTGGTAGCACTTGGATGGGTGTTTCTACCGGTTTATATTTCTTCTGGTGTGAGTAATGTGATATATGCATATGCCATCAAATGAATGAAATTAATTACCTTTGTTCCAAAATTAGATATTTGCTTTTTATTTCATTGCAATTTTCTAATGTGCTATCTCGATAAGCAATATTGTTTCAATTTATCATACCTTGGTATATGAATTTAAATATCCATACTTTTCAACACAAAAAGAAAATCTCCGTTTCCGTTGAGCTAAAATTGAAATTTTCAATACTAGGAAATTCCTGTAATTCAATCATTTACTAAATTAAATTTCGTTTTGCAGCAGCATTCACGTTTGAACTTTTTGTAAAATTTGGTACATGTCCATGAAGCCTTTAGAAACAAACGTTCAGTCTATAACTAAATTTAGAAGATGCCAAAAAAGACAACCGATAATCAAAGATCGAAGGAAGACCACCAAAGCCAAAACTATTCTGTTTAATATAACAATTAATACGAAACCAAAGTTCAAACAACCGATCGTAAAACACTACACACAATGTTAAAGGTTATGAACAGGTAACATACGATAACGGGACCGAACTTAGGTATTTCAAAAGGATAAAGCAGTTCCTACTCCTTTAAACCATTGTGGTGACGTCAGCCTATTCATTTACCGTGGATTCTTTTTCTAGAATCAACGCTTCCTAAATCTGACGCTGAAATTGACTCACCAAATTATATTCAATTGTTTCCTTTGTGTGCCTAATTTCATTAAGTTTGAATTGGCTAATCTACTGATTTCTGTTCACTAATGAAATTAATTTAAAAACTTACCTTTAATTTTTGTAATTTTTATATGCCTTCACTGGGAATCGAACCCTTCCTTGAAATCTGTTATGTGTGACTGACATCAACACATCGACGAAACCTCTCGGCTACCAATGGGTTACACTATAGATGTCTATTTTATATATTTAAATGAACATCTGATATACATTGGTTGGTTCATCGGACACACAGGGCTTGTACCTTTATATAGACACAATAGGCAGTCGTATAGTATGTGTTGGTAGCCGCGAGGTTAGCATGGTTAAAATCAATGAGTTAAAGATAGGGATTTGTAAGTTTAGGTTCGAATCCCTGTATTCTCTCTGTTGTTCCAATTCTGAAGTTATCCTGGTTTGATTCTAATTTTGCATGCTACAGTGGATATTTTTTTATAATAATAGCGAGTTTTACCGGGTTTGTTTTTATTATTATTGGCTATTTCACATGTTTGAAACAAAAATGATTACATTCTATTTGTCAATTTTTCTTTAATAAATATAGTATGATTTCATCTGTTTTACTACATAATTTTACAAAGGTTTGTTCGCAAATTCCTATGCGAGAAAATCGTGATGTGCATAGAGTGCTAGAAAAATTTCGATAACATACTTATTATATATACTTTATATATGCTTTTTTGTCGGGTTGTTTTCTCTTTGACACGTTCCCCATTTCCATTTTCAATTTTGTTAGAAATAATTTCGAATATGTCTTATTTTGTATAAACAGATAATATTCATATGCCTGGTAATATAAAGATCTTTAAAGGTAGAAGTGTTATATTGGTATTTTGTTAACCAATTAATTGTGATCTGAAATTTATCAATGCATCGTTGGACACGATAACATGGTTATTTAAACTCACTTACAATACCTTCTAATTAAGAAAAGTCTTTAATTTTGAAAAGAAATTAACACAATAGTTTAAGTTATAGATACAATGGATAAGCGTAGATTCATGAAAAACAAACCATTCGCCCTCCGGGCTCATGGTTTCTTTTTCAAGAATCCACGCTTATCCATTGTATCTATATAACATAGATACACCCATCATGTTGCTCATGACAAATACAAATTCGATGATAAGTTGTATTTTGTGATATTATACACCAGGAAAGGTAAACGGGATTTTGGCTACGAGAAATGGATCTAATAGGTTGCATTGATTGTTCTATTTCTTTTTATATATATATGTCTATGTTAAAGATATGTTTTTCTTTACTATCACTTATATCATAATTCTCTAACGATTTGATTTTGTTTTTAAGGTTTTTACGATGCCAGAATATTTGCGGAAACGATTTGGTGGAAAGAGAATAAGACTGTTTTCCTCGTTCTTTGCATTAATAGGATTTATTCTATTTAACATCTCGGTAAGAACATGTTATAAAATATTCCAATGGTGTGGACGTACTGACAGCGACCTCGGTAAGAACATGTTATAAAATACTCCAATGGTATGGACGTACTGACAGCGACTCAATATATGAAAATATAAGTTAATGAACACAAAGTAATCAATTTTATTGATTAATACAAAAGTTAGTCGTATTCAACTAAATCCGACATAAATATAATTAGAATATAGCAAAGTGCTCTCGACCAATGAAATTGTAGGATTTGGTGTCTCTTAATTGTGAAGAATGAATGAAATCATGTTCTTAGTAAGGGATTATCCTATTGTTTAGGCCTACTTACAGTTTAAAACAAAGAGTTTCTATACATGAGTTACAAATGCCCCAAAGCACATTTATCAGTTTGAAAGAATTTGTGATTAAAACTGACTAAAAGTTGAATTTTGAAAAAAAATCAAAATTAGATGAAGTTTACTGGTGCAGTAACATTGGTTACTGGATCTGCGGTTGGTGAAAATAGTAATTTCCAATATTCTGATAAAATTCTAAAAAAAGGAATTTAATTTAACTTTTGAATATATTTTAAACTATTTTAAAGGCATTGTATTTGAACATTTCCCTGACATAATGAAGTAGTATTTGATGTAAAGGACTGGACTAAAATATTGGCTGTAAAATAAAATTTATTTGTAACTCATATTTTGAATTTATTGATTTGAAATGGAAATAAACAAAAAAAAAACACTAAAATATTACATGATTTACATTCATACTCACAATCAGGAAACATTTCTTACCATTTCATTGTACTGTTGTGTCATCTAATGTATAAAACATAATTTATTATATTTTCCAAAATTATAAGAAGGTCCTTACATCACTAAAACTAATCCATAAATCAAATCATGCCTAAAAAGGAAGTCATGCATTAATTACAAACATTGCACTGACAATGAAAGTAATTCTTAAATACAACCAATCAAGAGATCATTTAAGCCTTGAGCACTTTACAATATTCTAAGTTTGTAAGAGAATGATAATCCCTTACTTCATGATAAGTACTCGCTAACGCTCGTACTTAATCATGAAGAAAGGGATTATCATTCTCTTACATATACGTATCAAACAGAAGTGATTATGAGTACGTCATTTTGTGCCGAGGACATTACATTACCGACAGCAATATAATACCTAATTTTCTACATTCAAAAACAGAAGTTAAGACGGCATAACATACCAAAATAAAAACAAATAAATTGAAGGCTTCTAACCCTAGAGATCAAACTGAATGCTTATTTTTTAAGATCAGCGGTGTGATCATGTACAGTAACTGTACATGCGAAAAATTATGAATTATAACAAAAAACATTGAACAAATTACACAAAAAATGGAAGAAAAACACAAAAGAAACATCAATATCATTTCACAAAATCGGTATATTTGCCGTCGATTTGATTGCTTTTTGCAATGCATGCAAATATTTTACTTGAATTCTTCGTGTATTGGATAACTGAATAATTCAGAATATAACTATTAGATATACAAATTATTAACCATTAAATAAAACATGAACATTTATTTTATTTAGATAGAAATATACTCGGGCGCCATTTTCCTGCAACAGATTTTGAAATGGAATATGTATTTATGCGTTGTCCTGATATTGATCGTAACAGCTGTATTTACAGTTATAGGTAAGTTTTTATAAATTCTTACGCATATCTTTTAGATACGGGATTGCGTTACCGAAAACAGTATGATTATTGCTCTCAAGTGTATAAACAATTCAATTTTTGATAAAGATCAACTTGAAAGATACGTGTAGCAAATAACTTTCCGCACGTACCAGTACACAACTCATTTATCAAAGAGTTCTCTTGTTTTTTTCTCCTTTTGAACTTCTATTATTTAATTGTAATTTCATATGATATTGAAAACTATAAAGAGAAGAAAGGATGTAACAGACTCAATTATCAAAATGAAATTTTTAAAGAAAAAACAAAATAAATAACAAAATAAAAGTTTTCTTAACAAGAAACAAGCAGTATAATGGAGTCGAAGAATTGTCTCGTGGTAGTCGTTTACATTAGGATTCTAATTACTAGTAGATCAACCTTTTGGATGCACTAATTGGGTAATCTGTCTATTTAGGTGGTTTAGCGTCCGTTATTTACACAGACACCTTACAGTCAGCTGTTCTTCTCGTCAGTGCTACGATCTTAGCGGTCATGGGTAAGAATATTCAATGAATATACTTTACTATATATATAAACATAACACTGTCAGGAATTTATTAATTAATTTGGTAAGAGGAAGTACAAAAAAATCACAAGATATGCTTAATAGGTTGCTATGCGGTATAGGTTTTGCTCATTGTTGAAGGCCGTACAGTGACCTATATTTGCTAACCTCTTCGTCATTTGGTCTCTGGTAGAAAGTTGTCTCATCGACGATCCTACCACATCTTCTTATTTTCATATTAACATGGTAAATCAATATATACGTGAAACCTTTTCCCTTGATGTACCATTTTATGCGGTACATATAAGTGCTTGTCTGTCCTTTCTCTGGCTAGACAATTCTAACTCGTTACTTTCTGGGAAATTAATTGAAAGAAGGAATTTGTCAGCAATTTGATGTTTATCATAATATTTGCAGACATGTCAAAAAAAGCCTAATCTTTTACAGATTGAACTTCTGAATTTTTTAACTGTTTAAACTAATTTTAATGTATGTTGAAAAAGACTAATCTAGTCACACGTGTTACTTGTGTGTCTCAGTACAAATTTTACATTATACAGTAATTTGGTGATATTTTACTGACAAACATGTTGTAGTAAGCAAATAAAACAATTAATTGAAAGAAATACTAGTATACATTATTGTTTAAGGGCCAGCTGAAGCCCACCTCCGGGTGCGGGATTTTCTCGGCTGTGTTTAAGACCCATTGGTGGTCTTTGGCTGTTTTCTGCTCTTTTGTCGGGTTGTTGTCTCTTTGACACAATCCCCCTTTCCAATTTCCCCTCTTTCAATTCTATTTATTATTACACGGTTTTCTGAGAGCGAACAGTAAATAGTGATATAGGAGTCCGTTCGTAGGTCCGTTCTTTTTTATTCTTTTTGTCAGCAATTTTATATGAAAAATAATATTTTTTCAAGACGACACGCAGACTTGCCCTCATTTCCAGTATACTGAAAACTCTAACTTTTATCAACAGATAAACGCGTCATTTATTACTTAATAACATCCAAACAATGGTTACCGTTCGAAAATCAAACCTCTACCTTTTTTTAATGTTGAAACTCGTTTACCAAGTTTTCCATAGTAACGTTTTAACATAAGTGGAAGAGACTGATTAATTTAAGTTAGACTTTACAGAATTAAATATTACCATAATTTAATAAGTGACATTTTAGGCCTGAAAGAGGTTGGTGGATGGAGTGGTTTGACAACCAAGTATATGACAAGTATCGCCAATCAAACTTTCAACAACCAGTCATATCAGGAATGCGGTAAACCACGCGTAGATTCGTTTCACATTCTTAGAAGTCCTGTTTCCGGCGATATTCCATGGACTGGAGCATTTACAGGGTTATCGTTCTTGGGACTCTATGTATGGAGTCAGGATCAGGTAATTTATGTCAGCCTTTAAAAACTTAACGAATAAATTCATCTTACAAAAAGAGCTCAAGTTTTTATATTTTAAAATTTCGAACAACTCGTTAATATCACTGCTTGTATGTAAAAAGGAGATGATATATAATTGCCAACGAGACAACTGTTCAACAGAGTTCAAATAAAGAGTATTTAAGAAATTATAGGCCACCATACGGCTTCAACAATGAGTAAAACCCATACCGTATAGTCAGCTATAAAAGGTCCCTACATTACAAAATGTGAAACAATGCAAACAACGATGAACGAAAAAAACATATATGGCAACTGACAGCAACAAACGGCAACTACTGAAATACAGGCCCCTGAATTAGTACAGGTAAAATAGAATGTGGAAGGGTTATACATATTTGTGAGCTCCTAACCCTCCCCTAACCTGATACAATGGTGTAACAGCACAACATATTAAGAACAAACTATAACAGTTTGAAATAGCTTGACTCATCAGATCGGAACGAAACACAACACAACACATTTCATAAAGACAGAAGACACAAAGTACCGATCTAAGAGTACTTCTAGTTACTGAAAGCTAATTCTGCTTTTATGAATCATAAATGTATACATATTTTGTTATGTATTTCTTATGTTTACATCGTAGCATTTTAGTCCGTTGAAATCTGGTTCAGGAGAGTTTGTACCTTTAATGGTATTACTAAATAAAACTAGTGGTCAACAACCGTTAATGGTATTATTAAATAAACCTAGTGGTCATTTTAGTTAATGCAAACATACTGGAAAAAAATGGTCACATAACACGAAGAAAAAAAAGGAATTGCAAAGTCAATAGCCATATCAAATGTAATTGACTTTGTATAGAATGGCGATTTTTAATAATTAATTTTTGAAGATTTTTAAAACTCAGTGAGTTTTAGCTGTATATTGGCTGTAGTATGGATTCGTCTAACATTTATTGTATATCTTTTCAGTTGATTGTACAAAGAACTCTTTCTGCTAAGAATATGGTGCATGCTAAAGCTGCAACTTTGTTTGCTTCCGTACTAAAATTGACCGGATTATTATTATTCATAATACCTGGAATGATCAGTAGAATACTATACACAGGTTTGCAGATAGACAAACTCTAAATTTGTTAGACAAAATATGAATCTACAGATAAAGTTCTATTCAAGTAAATTTCAATACATCATTATACATATGAATAGAAAGAAAAGGACGTTGATTTATATTAAACGATAATCCCAATAATTTTATTACTTGAAGATAACAAAATATATATGAACGCTCTTATACACTGTATGTGCTTGTATGTTGAACTTAAAATATTCCTTGATATATATAACTATGTTTACTTGTGATTATTTATATATGATTTTCACTACATAATTATATTGGATGATAATTCAACAAATAATCCACAAAACCCACAAAAGGATATAAAGTATATTCAAATCCCAAAAAGGAAAGTGCATGTCAATTCAATTTTGTTCAGGCAATGACCAATTCGTTCTATATATAAGTTAAATTTAATAAATTAGAAAAACGATAAAATTTAAGAATGGAAACACTTTTAAAAGGCACTAATAACAAAAGAAAAGATAAGGATGGATATACATGGGAATAAATATCAAAAATCAATGCAAAGTCATAACCAAGTTATTAAAAAAAACCAGTTTGTATTGCTGGTATTAGTATGTACAAGTCTTCAACAATAAACTAAAAGATAACATCTGTGCCAATCGGACGGTTTGAGGCATACTTTATGTTATTTTCTTTAGATATAATAATAGACATCTGACTATGCGGTATGGGTCATTTTCATTGTTGAAGGCCGTTCGGTGATATGTAGTTGTTAACTTTTATGTCATTTGGTCTCTGGTGGAGAACCAACCACATCTTCTTATGTTTATATTACTTAGATGAAATAGCCTGTGCTGATCCCAAATCCTGTGATGAATTCTGTAATAACAAAGCTGGATGTAGTAACTTTGCGTATCCTTTGTTGGTTATCAGACTACTGCCAAAAGGTAACGTATCTATTACTATTATGATTGTGAAACGTAAGATAATATATGGAATTCAATCAAAAAATAGAAGTCAAAGAAAAAGAAACAGAAACATGGCTTAAATATAAAGTCGAAAATACAAGTACAAAATATTACAAAGTAACTAAATAAAAGATCAAACAGCACACACCTAACTAAAAGGTAGTAAACTCATTTGCTCTAGAAAGGTTAGCAGTTTCTGTTTCCTTAGTGGAACTGACTGTTTTCCTTTTCAAATTAGGTGATGAATTATAATTACCAAGGCACTTTTTTTATATAGATTAGACTGTTGGTTTTCCTGTTTGAATTGTTTTACACTATTCTTTTTTGGGCCCTTTATATCTTGCTGTTCGGTGTGAGCCAAGGCTCCGTGTTGAAGGCCGTACTTTGACCTATAATTGTTTACTTTTTACAAATTTTGACTTGGATGGATTGCTGTCTCATTGGCACTCATACCACATCTTCTTATTTATGTTTAACAAATTATTAGAAAAATTGAAATCACGATGGTTATCCGTACCCTTTTACTGTAAACTTTTTACATAATATGATCATTTATGTGGGAATATCAATGAACCTTACATTTTTAATCTGAAAAGACATCATGTGCGTTTATTTGCACGTGAAAGAAGGCTTGAGATAGATAGAGAAAGAATAGCTTTTAACCTGATGTTCAGTGGTTGTCGTTTGTTGATGTGGTTCATAAGTGTTTCTCGTTTCTCGTTTTTTATATAGATTAGACCGTTGGTTTTCCTGTTTGAATGGTTTTACACAAGTCATTTTTGGGGCCCTTTATAGCTTGCTGTATGGTGTGAGCCAAGGCTCCGTGTTGAAGGTCGTACTTTGACCTATAATGGTTTACTTTTACAAATTGTGAATTGGATGGAGAGTTGTTTCATTGGCACTCATACCACATCTTCTTATATCTATTTTAATTTCAAAATTGTTATGAGCATTTGAATATTATTTCTTGTTGTAAATGTATTAGCTGTGTTTTCTTTTGAAGGACTGCGAGGACTAATGTTAGCAGCTCTTTTGGCAGCGTTAATGAGTTCGATGACATCTATATTGAATAGTGGTAGTTCTATTATGACCATGGACATTTGGAGACAATTCCGGAAACAAGCACCACAATCCGAACTGATGATTGTAGGAAGACTAACAGTTCTTGTTCTTGTCGTACTTAGCGTGTTATGGCTTCCGATATTAAAGACGGCGGAGGGAGGAATAATTTGGTTTTACATGCAAGCGATCAGATCTTACCTGATACCACCTATGTGTGTTCTGTTTGTCTTGGGTTTGTTCTGGAAGAGACTCACAGAACAGGTAATTTGAGCTTGTTAAATGATAATCATTTACTAAAAAAAAATATGATAGTCAAAATCAAAACCAAAATGAATATTAAGTAAGTCATCGTGCCATCTATGCTTAATGTTTTGCCGTCAATGGTTTAATATCTTTTATATGACAGATAATTATGGCGTTATACACGAAGCCTACATCATATGATACTCTGGTGAAACACAATAAAGGGAACAAGTAAGGCTGCTCTTGAGGTCAAAAATAAAGGTCAACACAATAGAAAAAAAATTGTGATCTTGAATAAGTAATGCTTGAAATTTGTAAAACTCTTTGGTTAGTGGAAAAAAAACAATGAGAAATGTTTTATTTTCTACTTTGTATGGGGTAAGGTAAGTGCTGGTTACGGACACTACTTGTAAAATTAACCTCTAGAAAATTATGTCTTTAATGAACTATTCCAAGTCTTTTTGCACAATTATAATTACAATGCAATTCATTAACAAAATACCAACCAAAACAAATCACAGGAATTTTTGCAAAATTATACCTCTTTCTTAATTAGTGGAAAAAGGATTATTGTAAGAACAGCACCACTCTTAAAATGAAAGACTGTATTGTATACATGTCGCCCATTAAAACCATTAAGAGTTGACCTTCTATTCATTGGAATATAAATCACAGCAGGAGATGTATTCCTTACATTAAATGGTATATAAGATAAACTCAGTAAGTTATTTGAGTTACGAACACTACATTTATCTTATGTTTTTAATTTACTCAATATGAATAACTATTCATGGGTAACATATTAAGTTAGTGCATTTTCTTTTTATTGTTTGCATTTTTTATCAACAGAATGACCCATGATTGTAAATAAATATATTTAATTAAAGTAATTTCCAATGTAAACATACATGACATGTTGACATGGATGGGACCAAGTATATCATTTCAAATCTGAAGTTATACCATAAACATAATTATCTAAACAAAGTAGGTGCTATGCACTTAAAGGAATAATAAAAAAAGCATATTTTCAAAAAAAAAATCATTAGAATTACATTTGTTAATCGGGAAAAAAAGAAATGCTGATGGTTACGGACACTACACACTGGCTACTTTTCCCAACAATTTTCTATAAATAACATACTTTTTGTTGATTAAAGAGTAGTCATTTATACAGAACTTCATGAAATAAATGTTATGCTATCATAAGACACTACCAGAATTGTAGATAAAACAAAAATAAAGCATACTTTACCTTCAAATATACTTGAGCTCATTAAATTATTTTTTAAGTGTATTTTATAAAATGTCATATAATACTAATGTCAAGTACAGATCTTTAACAAATCTACATGCTAGTATACATGGTATAAATCAATTGGAGGAAGAAAAAACACAAGATTTTGAAAAATGAAAAAAAAAATTTCATTTTTTTTGACTCCGAATAAAGAAAATCCCTGGGTTACGGAAAATAATGTGAAGATATAAAAACCATAAAAATAATCATGGAGATGAATTTTCTTAACCTAACATTACAAAAGAACTCATCTTTTGAGTTTATGACAAACTGATACCAAAATGGGGGTTTTACAATATGATTTTCTGGTTACAAATTTGTATGTCAAGGAATATTATCAGCTCAAATATTTTTAACAATTATCTGTTTTTATAATTTTTAATCAAAAGACATTGATGATGGAGCAAAGTAGACATCATAAAACCTAGAAATTAAGCCTATTTTGATGAAATAAAAATATTTATAATATCATGGTTACGGACACTACATCATTTTTGTAGTGTCTGTAACCATATTTTCATTTATTCTGACTAAATTCTAATAAGAAGGTGCAAAATGTTGTTATTATTTTAGTGTAAAGTATCAAATCTATAAAGAAAATAGCTTATTGTTTACGGTAGCTATTCTTTCTAGGAGAATAATAAGCTGGTTACGGACACGACTCTTTTTTGAAAAATATTTTTTTCTACTTTGAAAATTTCAAAAATATTCTGTATGAATCATATTATTTATATAACTGTTTCATTTTAGTATTATTATATTTGAGTATGTTGACATACATTTTTAACGAATTATCTTGCAATTAGTTTTATTTTCAGGGCCATAAATGATCAACACTTAATAAATTGAAGATGTATTTATAACGAATCACCACTCTTACAATTCTGCAAATTAAATTTTTAAATTAGCTCAGATTTTTGTAATGTTGGAATCATTTTAATCGCCATTTAATAATCTGTAAATGATAACATGAGAGGTGATCATTGCACTTACTGTTAAAAAGATTTTGAAAATAAAAACTATGTAAGGTTTGAGGCGCAACCGCATAACGTCTAAAAATTACCATTTTTGGACCACTAGTCTCACCGGTGTTCAAAAAATATTCAAGATAGAATCTAAAAATTTTGAATGAGGTTAAAACATTCAATATACTGTCAATTATTAAAAACAGAAAACTGGCATCCTAATATATTCAAGTTAGCTGTATAGCTTACATAACAAAGACCAATCGTAAATGTTGTTTCACCAGACTATAATAGATCAAGTCGGCTTTGTCACTATTGCAAAGAACCAATGTGAGTTATAATATCTTAGTCGTGATCGATTTGTGACCGTCGAACAAATGAATCAAGGCTTCCTATAATGTCTACATTTATCGTCCAACGTCATTGTAACGTGTATATTGGGTCTGTTTGCACAATATATAACCATATATATTTGTATTTTTTATTTCAGGGAGCCTTCTGGGGACTAATCCTTGGCCTTATTGTAGGGATAATAAGGATGGTCTTAGATTTTTCCTTTCCTGCACCCCTCTGTGGCAGTGGAGATTCAGACAACCGCCCAGCAGTAGTGAGCAAAGTAGACTTTCTACATTTTGCAGCAATCTTAGGTTTAGTCACAACAGGAGCAATGACTCTAATTAGCATGTTTACTGAACCTAGACCAGAAAGAAAGGTATTAACATCGACCTTTGTTATAGAAACATAGGATATTAAGTTGTGTAAAAAAGACTATGATAGTCAGATATTACTACAAATCACATTCTTAACTTGAAATCAGTCGATCGTGTTTTATCCATGTCAATATGTGATGGAATAGTTGATAAATTATAATTGAGTAAAGCACCAGCGGCCAAATTTTGAATGTTTATTTCTCTGAATAAAAATGACATATTTCATAAGTATTTAAACGAAGAAGAACAGAAACAGATTGAATATTTACTAGACAAAATCCAACTGCAAAAGATTTCCAAACGACAAGTTAAGGGCTCACCTACCGTGATCGCAAAGAATGGGCATCTTATTTTTCTGTCTTTCTTACCCTTACTTTATTTTCTAATGGTATTTTCTTCTAATAACAATAAATTTAAAGGGTCTTCAAAAATAAATGTTCAATAATGTTAAACTTGAGTCCTTGGCTTTCAAATATGTGGCTTTGAGGATTCCTGATGAAGTTAAATCCAGAAAAGCGCTTCGAACGCATGAAACTTATAACGTGTTGTTTTCATTTTTTAGTCCTATGAATTCGTCTCATCTTTTTATAGTTGAAAAAAGTAACATGGTGGACCAGAAACGATGAGGATGAACCTGAATTATCTTCTGATGAGGAAGATGATTTCGGATTTGATTCTGAGAATGATCAAGAACAATCCGCTGAAACATTGAATACTAGTAGTAAGTATCAGTCCTTTAGGAAAAGTGTGACATTGGAGACGGTTCAAAGTATTTCAATTTAGAATTTCAAATCGAAAACCTAATGCAAAATTGAAGATCTGATATAACTCGAAAAGGATGAAAGGTAAAGGCGTAAGCACGAAGACTCTTCAAAGTGTATTTGTCCTCGTTCAATGTCATTGGCTTTGAACTAGCTGTCAGTAACTACGAGTACTCTCAGAAATATTCGTCCTCGTTAAATGATTGAACCTTCTTTCGTGATAATGCCTCACTATTGTTCATTAAAATAGGTTAACTTAAATGGAGTTTATTGGTAACATATTTATTTACCACGTCTGTAATCGGATACAAAGTATACGAGGAAGTCGAGGTCTTTTTACGAGTATCTTCATGAAATATATATTTTAAGAACACATTTATATATTCGTTTTCTTTAAACAGATGTAAAATGTCAAATGCTACAGAAATGCAAAGATTGGATATGTGGTACTATAAAGGAACCAGAATGTAAGTTATCTACTGAGGAAAAAAGTTTACTGAGAAAAAAGATGACCTCCTTGTCGGAGAAAACAAGGAACAGACGAATACTGAACTGCGCAGCAGTGTTAATAACAATAGGAACTACAGTACTTATAGCAGTGTTTCACTGACAAGAACTGAAGTATTGTTTCAATGACAAGAACTGCAGTATTTATAGCAATTTATTTCACTGACAAGAACTACAGTATTTATACCAGTATTTCACTGACAAGAACTACAGTATTTATACCAGTATTTCACTGACAAGAACTACAGTATTTATAGTGCTCAGTATTTCACTTGACAAGAACTACAGTACTTATAGCAGTATTTTAGTGACAAGAACTACAGAATTTATACCAGTATTTCACGGACAAGAGCTGTGGTTTATGTATCAAACATTTGATCATACGTGTAATATACGGGTGCTAATGTTTTTTATTTTATATCGGAAATATTTATTTTGAAATTAAGAATGGGACTGACAGATCTTGAGAAAAGAAGAATTTCCTCTTATGATTTCTTTTGTTCACATATCAGCCCATAAAAGTCCGTGATATCGTCTACTATAACAAGATTTGTTTATAAGTAAAATAAAACTATTAAGGCATAGACATTTCAACCACCACAACGAAACTGCACTATGTTTTGTTTTTTTCCATAATACAGAGTAGATGAAATGATAGTAAAATGCACACATTTTATTAGCTCAACAGAGCTAGTGTGCTCATGAATGACGAAAATCTATTTTTAGGGGTCAATTATGGAGTACTGAAAATTAGGTGACATCCCGTAAGTCCGACAACCAATATTCCGACATCCCATTATTCCGACAGTCCATTATTCCGACATCCCATTACTCCGACAGCCTATTACTCCGACATCCGATTATTCCGACAGCTCATTATTCCGACAATGCATCTGTCATAAGTGTATGGGTAAATTTTCTCCAAAAAGACCAACTCCGTCCTCGATAATATATGTGGTTGTGCGTTTAGATACCGATTATTCTTCCTATGCGGCATATTTGCCTCAGTGCCTTGGAGTTGATACTCATGCATATTGCAACTGCTGGGTCCTTATTCTTGTCCTCCCTTTTCGTTTTACGGGTCCGGGTATTTTATTTGTCTTTATATTTCGGCGTTTGTGTGTCTATTGTCATTCTGTGCTGTTCTAGTCCCCGGTTTTGATTTTGTATCTTGATTTACCTTCTTTTTATTGGATCTTCGGTTTCCCTCCTTTCGTATAAAGGTAGTGAGGTTTCGATCATCATTATTAACTACATAAATAAATATATTCGAGTTGGATAACCCTACCCACTTTTTTGATAGTAACACTTTCAACCCCTTGTATCACTCAATTAAGTTTTATTTAATTTTGTCGCGGAAATGTTATATTTTTCATGAAAGACAAGAAGTTAGGAGAAACAGGGTAATTTGTCGTAAACCCAGCGTATATTCTTTTATTGAAAACATGTAAACGGAGCATCCATAACTACTTAGGTCAGAAAAAACATGGGTCATTATTCTTAAAGCATGGCTGTATGTATCACAATGGGGTTCTTTTTCATTTTTATATTTTGGTGAAAAACAATCATAACAAAACAAAATTCAACAGATGTCAATATATATACGTTGGTTTAACTAGTTTTATGTGTCTATTGGTTGTTCTTGTGTAATATATAAGGAGATGTGGTATGCTTGCCAATGAGACAACTATCCACCAAAGTTCCAATGAAGTCGATGTAAGCAATTATAGGCAACCGTACGGACCTCAACAATAAGAAAAACCCATTCCGTATAGTTGGCTATAAAAAGGCCCCGACATGAAAAATATGAAACAATTCATTTGAAAAACTAACGGCCTAATTTATAACAAAACAATTTACGAAAAACAAATATGACAGACATGAACCAATGACAACCACTAAACTACAGCCTCCTGACTTGGGACAGGCACATAAAGAATGTGGCAGGGTTATACATGTTTGAAGACGCCAACCCTCCCCAAACCTGGGACAGTGGTATAACAGTACAACATAAGAACAAAGTATAAAAATCAGGTGAAAAGGGCTTCATCAGATCGATACAAAGCAGAACTTCATCCAACGAAAACACAGACCGGACGTGGCAGGGAATTTATACATCACTCACAACAACAAAAACACAAAATACAGATCTGAGAGTACTCGTAATTACTGACAGCTAATTCAAAGCAAATAAAAACTAAACAATCGTGTATCTAAGACACTTTGTGTCTTACTTGCCCCGCGTGTGTCTTTGTCAGACTATTTTCCTTCTGGACTAACGCTTGGTTTGTCTACCATGCATTGGTTAAGTCAAGAAAACTGTTGAGGCAAACTGACTGTGGATAACACTAATTTATAAATTTTTAATTTCTATTTTGGAGTAAACTGGCGCCAATGTGTTAAAAAAGCGCGTGATGCTGAATGTCTATTTCTAAATGTGAATATTGAAGAAAACAGATACTACTACTAGTATTATTAACACTATCTTGTAAAATGTAGAGTAAAGGCAACAGTAGTATACCGCTGTTCAATAGTCATAAATAGATTGAGCGAAAACAAATCCGGGTCACAAACCAAAACCGAGGGAAACACATCAACTATAAGAGGAAAACAACGGAACAACAGAAACACTGAACTGCTACAAAAACAAACATACATATAACGGACTGTTTGATAACAACTGCCATTTTCCTGACATGGTACAGGACATTTTAAGAAAAAATGGTGGGTTGAACCTGGTTTTATGGCTAGCCAAACCTCCCAATTAAGTGTATGTAAATGCATCACAATACGGGGCCCCAGTAGAATACCCCCTTAGGTCGCGCAAAAAAAATGCATCAGTTTGACTCACTTTTAAGCAAATTTAAGATAATTTTTTTACAAGTCGTACGTTGTTTTAAATGAGACGCAGAGTCGCCCATCTAATCCCCAAGGTGGAGGTTCGGATTTGGCCATATTGGAGCCACACAATATCCAATATACATAATAGATTCTGTATTCTATAAAGCAAATCATATTCTGACCCCGCCTACCGGGTAATTTGTTGGAAATAGTTTGATGAGAATCTGTATGAACAATTCCCTGTATAACGTAATTCGAATTCTGCATATATATACGTAATTAAAATTCTGTATAGTCTGTATTTGCGTATGCAAAGAATTGTTACGATATAATTCCGTATTTACGGAATTCGAAGTCTATCCATACGGAAATATTTCTTTTTTTTTAATTCTGTAAATACACTGAGTAAACGATTTCTGTAAAGGCGCGAAAATAAATGATTGAATAATATACCTCTATACACAAATTTTAATTACGTATGTACAGATTTCGAATTAAGAATATAAAAAGTATTCGAACTACCTATATAATATATCGTAATTATTTCTGTACATCTGTAATAACATATACGTTATAAGGTCCGGGGACACAGTTATCGTCCTTTGATTTTCGTTATACAAATAGAGTCCTTAGTATGGACAGTGTATAACTTGCAAAAATTCATCTACCTTCCAAATTATTATTTTTATATTTATGCAACAAATAGTAAGGACGGGGGGGGGGGTGAAATTACATGTAAAAAAAAATTGGGGCATGAATTTTCAGGTAAAGTAGTGATTTGGTCCAGTTTGAAAAGGTCAAAAATTAGTATGTCTGAAGCTGTCAAACTGAATTACAGACCCCCTTAACATAAAATTGTCAATATTTTGAGTTAGAGCCGATAGACTTTTCTACACTACACTGTAAAAATCTTTTTTGGATAGAGCAGGTGCGATTTTTTTAATTTGCGGTTTTTATCTAAAAGAAATAACTGTGTTCTCGGGCCATAACACAGACAAACATATTTGTTTTACACTGATGCCGCGCAATAATTATTTCTAAGTGTCGAACTGATGGGTTGTCGGATTATTGGGTTGTCGGACTAACAGGTTGTCGGACCAATGGGCTGTCGGAACAATGGGCCGTCGCACTAATGAGCTGTCGGACTAATGGACTGTCGGAATAATGGCGTGTAACCGAAAATTATCAACTGACTGAATGTTTTTGTGTGGAAACGTACCTAGATCTTCTGTCTCATGTTAAATGCAGAAGGAATTATTCCGAAGACCCTGAAACTAATTTTGATTTTTATTATATATTTTTATTTAAGTTTAATTTTAATATTTAAGTCATATCAAATAAGAGATTTATATTTATATTTCAATTTTATATTTGGACGGGTAATTCGTGAACATGTGAGAAATATTTCGGAGTAAGAAATATTACAAATATAGAAAAAGTACAGATGTAAAAAAAATCTCGTATATAATATAAAGATGGATATACACACGACGGCCATGTCAATTTAATGCATTTACATCTTAGTGTGTACTACTATTTTTTTCTTGTTTAATTTAATCTACTAGTATTCAAATGTGGAAGGCACTAATAAAAAAACAATAACTTTTAAATATATATCTTAAAAATATTTTCTGGTAAACTGCTTGGTTTATTGTTTCTATTTTGATCAATATAATATCGCTATTCATACTCACTCTTAAATAAAATACGTACGTCATTTTCTTTTTTTTTTATTAGAGACAACATTATTCTTATACGAAGTAAATAGGATTATTGTTAGGAAGTAATTTTATGAAAGTATGCTTAAGTTTGATCTTCATTTTCTATCCAAATACTAAGTTTTTAAAGGTCAACCACATAGGTAATAATTTTAGTTTAAACATTAAGGATGTATTCTTATTCCAAAAATCATTGAAGTACATTGTATGTACATTTTTCAAATAGTGGTATTAGGTATCCACCACTTTCACATAGATCTCAAGTTTAAAGATTACTTTATTCCCTGCCCGACTTTGGCTTTACTCTTTTGTCATTTTTGATTTGTATGCTCTTCATATCTTTAATAAGCTTTGGATTTTCTAATGTTTTATTGATATCCATCTAAGCAATTTTAACTTACTAATATCTTTATTATGTAAATAAATTAAGATAAAATTAAAAACCAATTGTTCAGAGAACAATTGAAGGTCTTTCCACCCATAAAGATCTATTTTGATATAAAAATATTAAAATTCGGTTTAAAATGTCATTTCCAGCGTCAAATGATAGCTTATTGTACGCTGATTCCAAAAATATATGGTTTCTATACATTTTGTTTTAAATAAGGGAGATGATTTGTTACTTCCGGTTTGAAAAATGTTACTTCCGGTATAATTTGAATGTTTACTTGACACTGATTCCAAAAATATATGGTTCTAAATACTTTTATATTAAATAAGTAGAAAAAATAGCTACTTCCGGTTTACACAAGGTCACTTCCGGTTGGATTTTTCAAGGTCAAATGGCTTGCAACCTAATGCAAAAAGTCCCATGGCTTTATCATGTATACATATGAGGTAAAAGCAAAGGTCAAAATCTAGAACGTCAAATTTACCTATGACCTTGAGCTCAATTTCAAGGTCATAAACCAAGGACCTCAAATCAAAAGACCCTAGGTCTTAGTTATATATGGTTAATGAATTATATTACCATACGCGTATTTTTAAATACAAGAGGGGAGAAAACTCTAATTTAATGTTAGCGCACCCTTTAAACCAAAATGTATGTGTTACGACATGTCGCAACTAACAATTTAGTAATGATATGTTGTCGATAACTGATACTGTTTTTGAAAAGAAGTGAAAATAAGCCAAAATCAAAATTTAGAATATGACCTTGACCTTTGACCTTGACCAAATTTTCTTTTTTTTGGACCAAGGACCTCAAATCAAAAGACCTAGGTCTCTATCACTTATGGTTTACCAGATAGAAATGCATATCACTTATATCAAATACATAAGGGGAAATAACTCTCATATGGAGTCTCCGGAACGCTTCGGTGAAAACCAAACTCAACATCCTGAAGATATAGCGAGCAATTTGGTAAAATAAATTTGTCGTAATCTTTTACGGTTGCGAAGGAGTAGCGGCCACAAGAAAAACAGTGTTTGGGGAGATAACTCTTACAACTTAAAGTATTCGGTTAAGCGGTTGTCAGTTTCAAAAGCGTATAAACTGTTCGATATCATATACCAAATATCTAAGCGACATCTTATGAAACAACAATACTACGCAAGAAAAAAATTAGGCGGAAGAAAAAAAAAAAATAATAATAATAATAATAATCAGAACAAAAGCAATAGGTCTTTCCACGGAAAAGTGGAAAGACCTAATGATATATATGGGTTAACCGTGTCTACTTTAACTGTACACATATTATTAGTCCCCTATTTCATAAACTAAATGGGAATAGCTGTGACGTGTTGGTTAATAGGATGTTTCAATTTATTGGAAGGAATAGACATTATAATTTGAACTGTGGGAACAAAAAAAATGTCAGCGTACTTTAAACTTAAAACATAATCACAAGTATAACACTGGACTTAGTTGATGTTTACTGGCCAACTTGAAATTTATAATCCCCATGCAGGTTTTTTTAATAATGCAATAGATTGAACTTTAATTATTTTTATTTTTTTGTAAATTTTGCACTTTTCAACAGATTACGTTGTATAATACATTGATTCATATCTGTAATACTGTTTAATTATATATATCTTTATTAGCCTCCCTTAGGAGAGATAGTGATACGAATACAATATTAATGAATAACACAATATAAATAAAGTTTGAACTGATAAACACACACACACACAAAAAAAAGGAGAAATTACTTTAACCTTATTTCACATTGTTAATTAGGAATGAGAAAATAAAATGTTTTGCAAAATTTGTAAACGTATGTGACGCATAAAAATTGAAAACGTTTTTTTCTGCTCACAGTCTAGTTCGAATTCTGTTTCGCATGACAGTAAAATATAACAGAAATCTTCATTAGCTAAGGAACCAAGAAAAGCATTAAAAGTTATTGGGTTTATACATAGTAACTAGCACTAGAATTCATCCCGAATGTCAGATAGGCATTCCACGACGAAATTGCGTGAATACACGGGTCGGTGAAAAGTTTACATTTATCACATAAAATAATATCACTGTTCGTATTAAGGACCAAACAACACAGGGAAACTATATAATTGGCCTGTTTACGCAAATATGGAAAATCTAATGCAACAGTCCATGCAGGATGAGGCTGGAATATTTTATGTATCTTCTTGAATATGTTAAAGTCACTATCTATACTTCTACGTTGCTGCCATTCCTTTAGTTCATATTCAAAAATAGATCTGTGAACTATTCGTTTCCATATACGCTGAGACGGAAAAGTTCCGCTAGTCATAAACTTTGTTAAATAGTTCGATAAATGGTATTTGTAGAGTAAATCTACACAGTCCTTTGAAAAATCTGATGCACAATTGATGTTCTGTTGATTATAATACTTTAGTTCGAAAAGTCTACGTACAAGAATACGGAATGAAATTGCTGTTTGTGGTAAATTACAAATTCGTCAGAAGAACAGTAACTTACGTTCATTAATAAAACTGTCTAGGTTAAACCAACCAATAAG